TATAAACCTAAACTAAGATCAAAGGAAATTTTAAAATTAAATTAACACTAAGACCAAAATAAACTAACAATAAAATTCAAACTTAAATTTAAGCTAAATATAAAGTTTAAACCTAAACTCAATATAGCCTAACACTAAATTAAATGCAAGACTAAGATCTAAACTAAACATATACTTAAAATTCAAGGCTCAACATGACGAGCTCGCCTGACAGAGAGCTCCATCATGTGGGTGAAGGTCAGCAGATAGCTGCAGATGGTCTAGCACAGCAGACATATAATTTTGATCGTCGGGACAAGTGACATATGAGTGTTGTGGATGAGGAGGAAGATGAGAAGGTGGATGAAGAGTTTTATTAGGTGTTTGATGATGTTTCCCAGCCATAGGGGTTTATGTTTTGTTTTTTAATTTCCGTTTATGATTATGTGAATATTTATTCTATTGTGAACTTTCATATGTTTAGATCCGTATTTATTAAGTTATATTTGTTAGCATTATTTACGCTTTATGATATAGATTTAAGTTGTAGTGTTGGATAAGTAAGTCATTATGCTACTCGTATTTGCTATGTACAGGTTTCTGAGAATATAATCGTTTTTTTTTTTGTTATAGGTTTGCATTGAAATAGCATCAAAAAGTCGGTCTATATCTATAAGAGGTAGAACGATAACGATATTGTTTCATATTTGTCGATGATATTCCAACAAAATTAGCGTCGGACATAGATTGACATAATTACATCTGACAGTGGCAGACACTAATTTTATGACGGCCATTGATCCGATGAAACTAGTTAACGTTAATATTTACGGACGCCAAGTCGACACAAAATACTTGTGTTAGACATTTGCGACGCTAATAAATTTACCGACCCCAATTTTAATGATAAATTATTTCCGACACAAATCCGATGCTAATATCATATAGCATCGGACTTTCCCCTAATCAACAAAAATTCTGTAGTGTTTGTTATGTATTTTTAAAGTTATGCGCTCAATTATAATAATTACATCAACATTTAGATGTTTGCTCATCCTTAAACAATGGCCAATTAAACATAATTACACAAACTATAAAATCATTGTCCAAATTCTTTGTTTGACTCCTGTTGATAAATAAAGATTTGACATACTTTATAGGTCCCATGTACATAAGCTAAAGACTCTATTTAGCTTAGGTTAGTTTTATATGATTGTATAATATCAATAACTAAATGCAACTATCTATACTATTAAGTAAAGCAAATATAATATTATGTATTATTAAATAAATTATTTCATTCAATATTTAAACTTGAAGATAGTTAAATAAATGACCGTGACATTCCTATTTCAATGCCCTCACAAATACATTCATAAAGCTCAACAAAAGCTTCTATTTATATTATGAAATGAGGTTTGAAAATAGTTATGATAGACATTTTTAAACACTATAGACACTAATCTGTCCCCCTTCATAATACAGTTTTACAATACATATTACACCATGATGACGACACTCGTCCTAAAATAGAAATCTAATATGCTTACTAAATTGATAATAAAAATGCAGAACTAAATTTTAAAAAAAATGCTAAAAAATAATACTAATAAGCACCACCACCCTAAAATGCTTGCTCATAATGCATAAAAATTTACAAAAATAAATAAAAAAATAAATAAAAAGTAAGAAATAGGGACTCCATACGAAGCATAACTATTCTTTATCTTTACCATTCTTTTGCTCATAAAATGGAGGCTTTTGATATAGTGGTTGTGACGAGAATGAATTGTTGGTAGGGCCAATTTTGATGAATCAATTATTAAACTTTGCCAATGTAGGCCTAGTGATTGCTCCAAGAATAAATTTAAAAAAATTTTGAATTTTGCAATTTTCTAAAATTATTACTTGTGTTGGTGAGTGAAGAATAAACTAAGAAATCAACATTTAAATGGGCTTAAAAAAAGCACATTTAAATGGGCTAATGGACGGGCCCATTAACTCGCAGGAAGAGTTTATTTTAAGAATAAATTTCAACCATTACAACAATAAAATAAAGATGGTTATTATTGATTTTGAGGCCCTTTCTAAGTAAGTCAAATGTATTGATTCCGTAAATTTAACTGTTCGGCTTAAAGAAAATTAATTGCAAAATACAACAATGAATTTGTAAATCACCCATTTGAGTAGGGCTGTCAGAAGAGGTCGTTGTTCGCGAACAGTTCGTGTTCAGTTCTTCGTTAATGAGTTCGTGTTCGATTCGTTCGATAAGTAACGAGACGAACATGAACAAATTTTTTTTCGTTCGGTCAGTTAAACAAACCAAACATGAATAGTGATGTGTTCGTTCGTGTTCGAATCGTTATTGTTCAAAATATAAAATAATTTAAATTAATTATATATAAAAATTTTATGATATTTTAAAAAATTAAATCTTATAAATTATAATATATAATACATTAATAATAATAATATATTCATATACTATATTAGTAATATACTTATATAGATATTATATATTTATATAATATAAGTTATATAATTAATATAATATATTATTTATATATATTAATATTAGGGATGTGAAACTGGCTCATTGTTCGCGAACAACTCGTGTTCGGCTCGTTCGTTAAGAAACAAACACGAACAGTGACTTCACGAGCTTATTTCAAACAAACTAAAATTCAAACGAACCAAACACGAACAAGAGCTCTGTTCGGTCGTGTTCGGTTCGTTTACACCCCTACATTTGAGTGAGTTTGTCTGCAAATGTTGGAAATTATGAAGTATATTATATATAAAATCATACATTTGTAGTGCTTTCTATGTTTGACTGCTTATTAAAAATAATCGGGTCTTTATGCATAAATAGCACAGACATTATACTTGCATATCTCCCATCCGACACTTTAAATTTACAAATAAAACACTTAAAACTTAAAATTCCAAAATAACTTAAATAAATCCTTCAAAACAGCACATTCAGACAAATTCTGAATTACACTAGATTAAAAAATAAGATGCACTACAGTAACTTGAAATTTCATGAGCAACTGATGACAGGTCAGATTCTTGGAGACCACCGTGTAATATCATGGTCCACGCCCGCGTAATATTTTCTCCTCAAATACAATTTCTCTCTCTTACTCTTAATTTTTTGAAAATATTTTGCATACTGAGTCTGACTCCAATAACACTGCCAAGTGTAAATCAGTGGGCTCTCTTTTAAAAAAATTTAAAATTTTTGAGTCATCTTGGTTTAAATTTATTGGAGTCTAGATCCAGATCTGCGTCCAGACTCCGCATGTAAAATTTTTCCCAATTTTGCACGTGCTTAAATAGTGTTGAGTCTTTGAGGATGAGAATGGAGGAACAGTGATGTTTTTGCTCCATTAAAAAAAATATAAGTCTAGGGTGTGGGATATGTATGTAAAGATATTTTTATTTTTCTGAAAGTTGAAGTGATGACAATGTTAACCAAAGATTTTGATGTATTATAAAAAAGTAAAAGTGTAAATGTTAGATATGTAAATACATAAGAATTGGGTGGTATGAAGTTAAATGTGAGGCATTACAATTTTAAAAGTGATGCGAAAGATTTTGACCATTGATCTACAGTTACAAGAAAAGACATCTTAAGTTCTGATGGATCAGGAAAAGAAAATTGACTTCTCCATGCAATCATCGAAGGGCCAAGCAGAAACTGAGGCCCGCAAATAATTGATCACCGCCAAGGTTTTTAAATCAAAGCTGAGCCAAGCAAAACTAATCGTGTCTGAAATGATTGAATTTAATACGAAATCATTTATATTAAAATTTGTCCGCCCAATAATTCACTAACCAACAATTTCAGAAAAAATTAAGAACCAAGCGAATAAAAATAAAAAGAAAACAGTCTCACAATATTCTCCCAAATTTATTTATGTGAAATTATTTTAATCTCAAAATTTATAAAAATATCAAATTAATCCTATATTTTTTTTTTACATTGAGGCTAAAATAAATCATGAAAGACTACTAAAATTGAGTTTTAAAATAATTAGAAATTATTTTGTCAATTATATAAACTCTAAAACTAAGATTTCGTTTGATAGACTGAAATTTCATTCGGTTGGAACGAATGTTGACGTCTGTAAGAATTCTCATCGTGAAGCTGTGGGAGATGAACCGAAGTTCTTTCGCAAGAATGACACTGTATATTAGGAATATGTTTGGACAAATCTCAAGAACATGCAATTGACCACACAAAGAGAATTGTTGTACATACATTTGTCATTACGCTTGCTGGCCTTGGAAGCCGACAGAAAGAAAGACTGGCCGACTCAACGAACACCGCACGATCACGTTGACACTTTCCCAACCTACTTTTACAGTCGATCGGAGAGAATTCCGTTAATATAGACACATTGACTGAATATGGGATGCGTGTCTGATTACGGTAATAGACTCTCTACGTGATGAAATAATCATGCCCAAAAGTAATGTGTCTTCTCTATTGACTCTCTCAGAAAAGGCGGTCGAAGATCACTAAATGACTCTGGGCCGACTGAATGAATACCAAGTGACCAAGCAAACCATTACAAATACAAAGTGGTCTCGAATGGTAATTACAAATATGGAACGACACAAATAAATGTTACAGGTCAAAACATGTATTATTCAATTACCGGTAACATTCCTATTAAGACGGAGACAATCATATAATTTGATATACCCCACACATATAATTTATAAATAACAGTCATTTTTAGTTAAAAGAAGTCATTCGACAATTTTTTAAAATATAAGATGTTATTTGTGTTTTATTTCTCTTTTCCTTCATTGGTCTCTTTTTCTTGAACGTGAAATTTAGAATCCAATAGTCATACTTTTACCATTTCAGATCACAACTGATAGGTACCATCTGATTTATCAAACACCACTTATGAAAAAAAAGTTAGTGAATGCTGCCGCTGTTAAAACAGAAGCCTAAAACAGCATCTGAATAATGGTGAACCGAAATTCAAATTAAAGAACTCAAATTAAATAAATCACATAAAATTTAACAATTATACAATTACAACCACATTAATATGAAACCAAATCCAACAGACTGAAGCTTAAACATCACAGAGATTGCTTCCAACCAAGCCTTCTATTCCATCAAACACTCACTGTACAAACACAAAGGCCGCAGGAGAAACCTACGTTGAATACTCAAGCGGCGGAGGTGGTCTGAACTTCCGATGATTGCCACATTATATCCTTGAGCGCAGGCCGGAGATCGTTGCAGCAGAACCTCTTGTATTCCAGCGTATCGCCGCCGTCCATTTTCACGTCCACCACAAGCACGGATGGAGCCACTGCGAAGATCTCTGCGGCCACCGCAAGTCGCCCTTTGCGGCCCCGCTCCTCTCCTTCCAACCTAACCCCTGCGGCTGAGCTCTTCGTCACACGGAGCTTACCGGGAACTCTCGCCGCCAGTTCTTCTAGTCTTGATACGATCCCACTCGCCGGCCCCTTTGTTGCAAACCTCATCCCTTCTTCTCTCATGTTTTCCCTGCTCTCGAAGAGAGGAGAGAGATCGAACCCCTCTGATAGAGATATCAGATGGAACGCATTCAGTCTCTCTGGTTCATCCCCATCTTTCTTTGCTGAGGCAGCTGGTGGATCTTCGGAGATCGGTTTGGGAATGGGGTTTTTACGGAACCAGGGGTTTTCGATCAGGTTAGCGACGGTGATACGGGTGCTGGGATTGGGATCGAGCAACTTCGTAACGAGGCTGCGAGCGTCAGTAGAGAACCATGGGGGGCATTTGAAATCGCCTCGGTGGATCTTTCTGTACATGTTTATGATGTTATCGTCTTTGAAGGGAAGGGATCCGGCGAGGAGGACGTAGAGGATAACCCCACAGGACCAGAGATCTGCTTTAGCGCCATCGTAACCCTTATTTCCGATGACCTCCGGAGCAACATAGGCCGGCGTGCCGCAAGTGGTGTGAAGTAGGCCGTCGGCGCGGACATGATCTGCGAAGGCGGAGAGACCGAAGTCGGCGATCTTTAGGTTTCCGGCTTCATCGAGGAGGAGATTTTCCGGCTTGAGATCGCGGTGATATACGCCGCGCGAATGGCAGAAATCCACAGCTGAAATGAGCTGCCGGAAGTAGGAGCGAGCGGCGTCCTCCCTGAGACGGCCAGATTGGGCGATCATGGAAAACAGCTCCCCGCCGCGTACGAGCTCCATGGCGAAGTAAATCTTGGATCTCGTAGCCATCACTTCGTGAAGCTCGACGATATTTGGGTGGGTGACCATCTTCATGACGGATATCTCCCGCTTTACTTGCTCGGTCATCCCCACCTTGATAACCTTCTCCTTGTCGACAACTTTCATGGCGACGTTCTTACCGGTGCGCAGGTTGCGGGCAACGTATACCTTGGCAAACGTACCTTGACCTAGGACGCGGCCCAGTTCATAGCGGCCATGGAGAACGCTCCGTCCCTCTGCCGCCGGCGAGGACGAATCTAGCTCCTCCATTTATATAAGATGTTTCAGAGTTTAAGCTCGAAAGAAATTTGATGGTTGAAAAGTGTAGATTAAATTGGAAACAGCGGAGGATAAACGGCGGCAGCGTCTACCCGTCTTCAACGTGCTTCCGGTGGCAGGACCGGCCGTCGTGCTGCTTGCGTCTGCCGGCGAGGTCGGGATCAGATCTCCTCATCGCGACGCATTCCCCGGTGTCTGGAGGGTCGAAGAAGAGGGGGTAGATAGAGAGAAAGAGCACGCGCCCGCCAAGCTCTCGCCGCTCTGCGAGGAGGACAGATGGCACAAGAGGCTGCGAACCGTAAGGCAGTGGCTTGCCCTTCTATTTATAGTTCGAGTGAGCGGTTTGAAGTCTATATTAGCGGTTTTGTCCGATTTCGCCCATTGTTTTTAGCATTCACGGCACCTCGTGAGGATGAACATTGGAGATTGGGCGGTGAACGGAAAGAATTACTTCTATTTTATGGAACTTTTAATAAAGAGAATGAGCGTATTATATAATTAGAATTTTTATGGTTACATATATATATATATATTCG